TTTAAATGATATCTGAACTTAGTTCTATCATGTGGGGCCCACGTTACAAGTTCCATCTGGGTCCATTACAACTCTAACCAAAAAAAAAAAAAAAACCTTAAAAAAAAAAAAAGAAAATCCACAACTTTTTCCATGTCATTAAATATATTCATATATAATAACCATAATATATTAGTATGCATTGGAAAGAAACACTGACCCAAACAATATGTCATGGTCACAACTAAACATTTACAATTCTGAGTGAACAGAACTCAGAAACGCAGGAGGGAGCTGGGGGGAGAGGGGATGGAAGTGCCTTTGGGAGCAGAGCGGAGAGAAGTCTGATGACATAGTAGTGGGGCTGGCTTGGTTTTGGTGGGGCGGGGGCGGGGACGAGGCCCCACGAGTACACGTTTGGATACCACTAGGGTATGGCGTGGCTGTGCCCATGACCGGTGGCCCACTGACCCCATCCGTGAGTCTAGTTCGTCCGCTCGCCATTCTCTCTCTCGGGGGCGTAGGGGGCTTCCTTCAAGTGTTGAGACCCTGACATTTTTCAGTCTCATTCCAATCTGGGGCCCACCCGAGGGCGTCTGTACCCATTTCCTGCAAGCTACTATGGAGGCAGAGCTCCAGGGGGACATGAGGGGCTTTGGGACAGCCCCCAGCCACCCTGGCTTGCACCACAGGGGTCCCTCCCTCCCTCCTTCCCATCTGTGGGCACCTGGGGCTGCCCCTCTCCTTCCCCTTCCCTTCCACCCCCAAAATCTTTAGTGTTACTGTGTGTCAGTCCAGCAGGCACTCTGCCGTCAGGGGCTCCAGACCACCCAGCAGGTAAGAAAAAGGACAGGTGGGCAGTCTGTTTTCTTTTTAAAAACTAATCTGGTATGTTTTTCTTCGAACACCTACATATCACAATTCTGGTTAATACACTCTTCAAAGTCAAAAGCTAGCTCCATTTTACATCCGTTCCTAACTGTACAAACCGGACCACCTCCGTTCCTCCTTCCAAGTCTCCTCCCAGGGAGGGGGGTGGGCGGGAAGAGGGTGCTTTCCCCAGGATGGGCCCTCGCTGCTGAAGTGGGTGGCTGGAATCCGAGGAGCCGAGGGCTGGGTCCTCGAGATGGGCGAGGCAGGCTGGGATGACTGAACTCCCGAACACAGTCCTCACCCCCACCCCGCTGCTCTGGGGCCCCGGCCACGGCCACGGTGGGGGTGGGGACGGGGACAGCCTGCGCCCTCCGGGTGCTGAGCCCAGGGTGAGGCTGGAAGCTGGTGGAATTTAAAGCAAGAGGCCTTGTCACTTGGCAGGCCGCTGGCTCCAGAACTGAGGGGGCCTCGGAGACCACCCGTGCCAGCCCCTCAGTGGACGCGGGGAGACACTCAGGCCCAGGAGGGCACAGCCCTTCTGGGCAGGGTGAAGAAGCCAGGTCAGCGTGAGCAGAAGTGAGACCAGGCCCTTTCAAGGACGGGGCCCAGCAATCAGAGATGCTAATGGCGCTCGCAAACCTCATGGGGCCTGGAGAAGGGCTGGCCGCTCGGAGGGGTCCCCGTGCACCCAGCCTTGGGCCTGGATATTCCTCCCCAGAGCAGTGCTCTCTTCTCCCTGCCCCCTTAGGCATCTCTCCCGGTCTGTCCTGGAAGCCCTCCAAACACCCCCAGGCGGCCGAATGTCCATCCTGCGACGTTTTAGCATGAGCCAAGGCCTGCCTTCTTGGGCCCGTGGCGAGTTCACGCCCTGCCTCGCCCACTCTTGCCGCCACCTCTTAAGATGCTCTGTCCATCCCCACCCCCACCCTGACTTCTGTTCCCCGGGCTAGAGGCAGTAACCAGGGCCAGTATCTCAGCGGCGACCCAGCCGCAGGAAGCGAGGGTGTGGGCGGGCTGCAGTAGCAGCGAGGGGCAGTGTGGCCAGAAGGCCCGGCTCTGGAGTCTGACCCCGGCTCGGCCTCGTATTTGCCTGTGACCTTGAGCACATGGGCTTCAGTGTCCTCGCTGGCAGAGGCGGGGTGAGAATCCCTGTCTCAGGGTTGTCATGAGGCTTATGTGAGATCACGTGGGTAAAGTGCCTGGCACAGAGCAGGTGCTCAGTAAAAGGCCGCCGAGCTGCGGGCCGAAGCGGGGGGAGGCGGAGGGAAGCCAGACCGCGAGGGCACAAGCTTCATACTTGGTATGACCCTAGCGAGCCGCCGAGCTCCGGCAGGGAAAATGGAACCAATTTCCTGACTGAGAGAGGAGCCAGGCCTCTAATTCAGTGTGCCGGGTGTGAGGACGTGGGCCGGAGGCCCCGGGGCAGTGCAGAGAGCTCCGAGGCCGGGCGGCAAGGGGCCCCAGGGCCCCGCGACGGGCCAGCCAAAGAGCCAAAGGTCTGGGGCCGCCTGTTTGGGGACAGTGTCTCCAGAAAGCTTTGGAAAGGGGGCCTGGCCACACCAGGGGCATGGGAGGCCTCCACAAAGAAGGGGCAGCCGGAAAGGAGCAGGCGAGGTGCTGCCCGGCTGGAGGGGGCAGCCCCAGGGCGGGGGTAGCTGCGGCCGGCATTCTTGGTTCAGCAGCCTCTGTCCCTTTCCCGAGGGAGCCAGGAGTGAGGGCAGCAACGGGAAGTGGTCATGGCTTCCCTGGCCCACAGGAACCCGCTCCTCCCTGCCACTGCCTGCCCGAGGCTCGGGCACCTGGGGACCTTGCTGAGCCCGCAAACCCCGGCCTTCGGGGGGCAAGCCCCTTACCCCAGCCTGGCCCAACTGCTTGTGCAAACCTGCATTCCATGCCCCAGGCCCTTCCCAGGAGCTGACGTCATTACACAAATAGTGTCAGGGCCCCTGCCCCCTCCCCTGGAAAATGTCATCAAGGGGCTGGTTCCAAGTTTCCAGAAAGGAAACTCTCTGGGAGGTTTTGCCTTCGCAATGCCTCCTCCAACAGGCAGCTCCAGCGTGAGGCGGTGACCACCCGGCTGGGGCTTCTCAGGGGTGTCCTTGGGCCCACTGCCCTCCGCCTGGGCCACAAGCCGGGCCAGCACCCATCGCGCAGCCGGGCGGGGACAGGCGCCGACGCCGGATCGCGCTCCTCTGGCTCCACCGACGGGAATCCCCCCCACCCCGCCCC